GATCTGATGGATGGATTCTATCAGATCCTTATGCGTGAACGGGGCATCCCGCACACAGCGCGAACACCCCCAGTGGTATGCTCTGGGAGTGGCAAGTGATGCCACAGGGGCTAAAAAACGCTCCTGCAAACTTTGACCCATGTGTTACGATTCTGTTGCGATCGGTGCGCGATTTCGCACCGAGTTACTTCGAGAATGTCTTCGTCCATATTCGGGCTATGGATTGAAAGATGGACGTGGAGATTCATGAAATCCACGTCTGGAAGGTTCTTCCACTTATGCGATAGCGTAAGTGGTTCGTGAACTCGAGAAGTGTATATTCGCAGCGAACGAATACCACTTCTTGGCTGCATCGTGAGTAAAAACGGCGTACTCCCTGATTCGGAAAAGATCAATGCGATTAGCGACTGGCCTGCACCAGTCGACGTCAAGGGACTTCGAAAGTTTCTTGGCTTGGCGGCGTACTTGCACAAATACTCGCGTAACTATGCCGAGATGACTGTACATCTCTCTCGTCTGCTAAAGAAAACAAAGGGGTGGTCTTAGAGTGCTGAGGGTCAGCACTCCTTCGAAGGTATCGAGAAAAGCCTGATACAATGTCTGTGTTGGCGATTGCAGACCAGGACAGACCATTCCACGTGGTCTGTGACGCCAGCGATTATGAAATTGCCTGCGCGTTAGTGCAGTATGACTCAGACGGCGTTGAGCACGTCGTCTTTATCAACCGCGTCAGCTGCAAGCAGCCGAGCGTAATTACCCGGTGCATGACAAGGAACTCCTTGCCATGAAATATGCACTGGCTAAGTTTCCGGTAAATCAATAAGGAGATAGGCCCTTCATCGTTTATACCGACCATGCGTCGTTACGCACGGCCGTAAGCAGTCCACACCTCTTGCAACGAATGGCGAGGTGGCTGTCTTTATTCGCAAAGTACAACGTCTCCGTCGAGTATAAATCAGGACGACTCCATGTCGTCGCTGATGCTCTTTCGTGTCGGCCCGATTTCGAGCCAACTGCTCAACCCAACAGCAGGGTCGATCCCACTGTTGCAACACTAGCATTGAGTGTTCCGTCGTGAATATGCTCGAAGACGTGCGGAAGGCATACGCAGAAGATGAGTCTCTTCTGCTATTGATGGATTATGTATTTAATCCGTACAGTCAAGCTTTGAAAAGCTTGACGTCTCGATACCGCTCTTCAACCGAACTGTAATTTGTCCATGGCGGACTGCTGTACTATACAGCAGTCAACAGCGACGCACCTCGTATCGTCCTTCCCGCTCATGATGATTTTCGATTGCGCATCATGTATGAGTGTCACGATGCCCAAACAAGTGGGCATCGCGGTAGAGAAAAGACTTACCTCAATGTAAGCCGTGACTTCTACTGGGCCCGCCAGTTCGAGTTTGTCCGCAAATACATCGCGCTTGCAAAGTTTGTCAACGGATGAAGCGTAGTCCTTCATCCCGTGCACTCTTGCAGCCTCTACCGATTCCGGCAGAGTGATTGCAGTCCGTATCGATAGACTTCATCTGTGAATTTATTAAAGAAGCTCACATGAATTATGGTATTCTTGTGTTTTTCGATCGCTTCAGCAAGATGGTATATCTTGTTGATCTACCGGAGTCAATCACAGCTCAGGGATGTGCTCGTGTCATCATCGATACTATCGTCCAGCTTCACGGGTTACCCGTGAACTCGTGTCTGATAGGGACCCCTGATTCACAGCAAAGTTCTGACAATCCGTGTTCGTTCACTAAGAACACGTTTAAATATGTCGACTTCTGATCATCCAGAGACGTGTAGTCAGACGGGACGCGTCAACCGCGTATTTGAAGAGATGATTCGAGCTTAAGTCCACTCGTTAATCAGCATCGCCAATGACTGCTGCAGTGAGGACGATGACGCTCTCACTGATAATATAGAGCGTCATCTTGTATCGTTCAGCATCGCCAATGACTGCTGCAGTGAGGACGATGACGCTCTCACTGATAAATGCATCGTTCTTTCAGCAGTGCACACGAAACGCACTGCTGTTAACAAGACTGAATCAGCAGAGGAATTTCTGCTGACTCGCGAAGCGGTTGTCCGCTTCGTTCGAGACTCTATTGCAGATGCTTAGACAGACAGAAGGGAAACACAGACAAACATGGGAGAGCAAATATTCTTCCATTTGATGAAGGAGATTAAGTTTTACTGTCTACAGTAAACTTACCGAAACACACAGTGACAAACGTGGGCAGCAGTATATTTCTGCCCAAGTACATCGGTCCATTTCGTGTGTTGCGCCGAGGGAAACGCACACACGATTGAACTGCCCCGTAAGATGCACACGCATTCTACGTTTTACGTTATTCGTCTCCGCCCGTAATAATAGTACGAGCCCGTTTCGAGAAGCGAAGAAAACTTTTACGGTCGAGAGCCGAGACCACCTTCGAGTGGTCCCGTTTCAACGATCCAGTCTGGTAGACTAGCAAAGCGACCTTCTCGCAGTTAAGCGATGTCTTGACGATCTGCAGCCAGCTCGTCACGAAGAGAACGAGTCGATCGTTCGTTCTTAAAATTGAGAAACGCAAATGCAGCACGATTGTCCGAATGATCGTGCGTTAAGGAATTTTAATTATCCCTCACAAGATCCTCAAGTCCATAACGCCGAGATCGTTTATGAGCCAAGTGATCGTGTAACCGTTCCGTTACACGGTTCAGGTCTTTGATCATCAAGCTGATCCGACCCTCAAGCCGGATCAGGCCATCCCTCTACGACCATATACTTTGGTGGATTCTTGAAGTGGTCAACGCTTTTTGGAGGAGCGTATCTTAAACCACCGCGACGTAAAGGTGGTCTGGACGATTTCCCTTGTCCGCTGGCGTGGCCATCCACCGGCACGAGACAACTGGTAGCCTCGTGCCCAGCGGATTGTTGATGTTCTGGAACTCGTCGAGCAATAAGACCAGACCCACCCGTTGCGTCCGAAGAAGGGCCGTCGGAAAACGACTTCCCCATACGCGAGTACGGGGATTGCAAAGTGCCAATCCCTTCAGCCATCTCAGCAGAAATGCGCGCCCTCCAGTAAGGAAAATTAGGGAGTTAGGACTCCTTTAAGGGAACGATTCGCACTCTTTCAGAAACCTGGACATGGGATGCCCGACGAGACACAGGGTAACCCTGCCTCTCTTGAAAGTTGGTGCAACTAGTATCGTACACCGGCTAAGTTACGCTTCTCGGACCTGATGCGAGCTGCAATAAGTTTACCGAGCCAAACGTAACGGCCAATGCTTTCGATTTTCTGAAAGAAGGCATTCCATTCTTGCACCAAGGCCTTACCGTCTCGACCACGGTTGCCATCGTACCACCGATGTTTAAAGAATACATCGTAGATAAAACTTTCTCAATACGGATAGTTTCCGTGCTGTAATTAGGAGGACGGATCCATCTACGGTCGAACAACGGGATTCGATGCCGTCCAGTGGTCATACCGGCCCATTGAACTAGCTCCTTGAATGATGGTAACCAAGAAGACTTCACTTGTGGAGCACGACGCAGGACATTGCGGTCCCTGGTTTCTTGAGAGGTACCATCATGAGCACTGAAATTAGTACCAGCTCGATCCTTCGAGTTGCTTCTCTCGTGGTGACGCATAATTACGTCACCACCATCACCACCAGTCCTCTTGTCCGATGTAATTGCGTGAGACGAGGATTCTTCGGACGAATCGCTCGGTCCGAAGACTTAGACATGATGCCGCCACGTTATCCAGGGATAGTAAACCTGGCTCTTATAGTGGCCACCATGGATGATCCGGAGACGTGAGGTGTCGCCTTCGAGTCTGATACATCATCCGACTCGCCAGAAAAAGATGAACTCTATCTCAGGCTCATCCGCATTGCGATTCGTAGCGCCCGCTGCAGACGCAGTGGATGTATCTGTCGCACGTGGTGGCTTACCACGTGGACTAGTCGCAACAGGCACTGCCTGTTGCTCAATCGCAATGGCCAGCGAAGGATCACCCTCTGCTAAAGCAAGAGAAAACTCGATTCGGCAGCACACCGCATCGACTATGACATCATGCTATGAATTAGCAAATGAGTTAAAATTTGACCAACAAGTGTTTCCCTTCTTTGGGTAGTCTAACGGTGATCACCCTATCCCAATCGATTAAAATCAATTAACGGCTGATTGCTGGTAAAAGAGGGGGTTATATAACGCGGTAGCCCGTTACATGATATCGACACCAAACGGTGTCAATAGGTAACTGTCTAGCGTGTCTATTCCCTGCATATTTTATCCGAGATAGGTAATATTGAAGGAATATTATCCTCTTGTAGGATTTGGTTGATGACGACGTATCTACAAGGTTACTGCTAATCGCTGCTAGACGCGCGTAATGAGTGGTGAGCAGGTTGTCGTCATACGACAATGTAGATTAATATAGCTAGGTAAAAACTGAAGTTAGCTTGATAGCTTTACTATATTCAATACAGTTCTCTATTTACCTTTTACTAAGACTAGAGTAGATTAACCCTCTCTGCACGTACGGGTGTTCGTTAAGTTTCGTGGCACCCCAAGCAAAGAAAGCTCTGTTACAAAGCGCCTTTTCGTCAGCGTATGGGCTCCAGCTGCGCCACTAACTGCTTTATTTCGGCCTCAATCACATATCAGCGACGTTAAAAACAACCAGACATTGACTGATTAATCACTCATGAAGAGCACAACCATGATCACTTTGTAGATATCAAGGTAATCTACGTGGACGTGCACTAACGGAAGAACAAGAACAATCGGCGATTGTGAGGCTGCGTGCAGTCATCAGTGCTGGTCGCATCGTTGCCTCCCTTCATCAATCTGGTTTTGTAAGTTTTATTGCGCGCGATAGATACAACATCGCTCAAGTGAGCGCTGCAGATTTGTAGGAGGAAGTTGCAATCTTACACGCTTGCTTGATAGTCTAGCAACAAAATTGACAGAAAGCAAATACGCACCGAACGAAGCGACATCGAGCGTTACGTATTGCTTCGCACAATGAACGCGAAAGGCGGAGGACGCGCTGGGAACTTGATGCGCACGCTAGCGATGCGGCCGAAGCGGTCAAACTTGTCGGACAGGTCCCGCTCCCGCACGTCTTCGGGCAAACGCTCCACAAACACTCGCGCCATTGGGGTCGATTGTCAACCTTTTGATAGCACGTTGGCTGCAAACGCAAACCCCGCGTGTGAGTGACTTATAGTGACGTTGGATTGTGCCGCGCCACCGAATGTACATCTGGAACTGTACGATCAATTGGGCGTTTTTAACTCTGCTTACCACTACGTCACCAAAGACTGCGCGAAGTCGATAGTGTTCGCATCTACTAAATCAGTGGTACTGAACTCTAGCAAGAGGAGAACATGGAGCTGAGTGGAACGCAAGACACTGGTCCGCGTATTGACGAGCATTTTGACCGCATCCGTGCCAACCTGATTCGCTGCGAGGAGTGCAATGAGAACTTTTTCTTTGACTTTTGCGGCACCCCCGGTGCGTCCATTATAATGGCCAATATTTGTACTTGCTCCACGCCACAAGTCGGTGTTTTGTTTTTACGAACAATATGATTGAACTGCTTTTTGTATCCAGCTACTTTGTAACGCATTTTAAAAACGTGCCATTTGAAAAATGTGCTGTAACGCTTTAATGGCCATACGGAAGAGGAAAACCAGCGCGTGCGGTTCGGGCCTCGACGCAAAAAAAGATGCCACTGCGTGGTTTGGCCAGCTCAAGTCCACCGGAAAAGAGAATGGTAAGAGAAGCTGGGCTGCATGGACATTAAAGGCACTAACGCATACCATCGTCATCATTGTGTACCCTTTCGTAATATTTGCGGTTTTTATCCTTGTTGCTAAGTATTCTATTTATTGTTGTTGCTATTCTTTATTGTGTACTGTGGCATCATGATGTCGTTGACCTCTATAAATATCGTAGATTTCCATGCAAGACAACAAATGGGGCGAAATTGCTGAACGAGAGTGCTGGTCGTGTCGACTGTAGGGCAATCGCTTGCTTATGTTTTTTGTCGAGAGAGCACACGATGACAGTGATGTTACTCCTTTTTTTGCTGAAGTATGACCGCCAGCTTGTTGCGATGATGGTTGATCTACCAGCTTATGTAATGCAGGATCTGCATGATACTTGGCTGGCTTTCAGGAAGATGTTCGTGTCTTGCTACTTGCATAAATGTCTACAGTACGGTCGTTGACAACGTCACGTGTCGAGACCGCGCATGCGGCTGTCAAGAAGTGGTTAAATGGATTAACATGTAATTGTCAATACTTTGGACTTTACTATATTCGTAGGTCAGCTACTTACTATTTTGTTGCCCTTAGGTGATCTATGGTCGGTAAACACAGCTCTCGACTTGGATTTCCACGGCCAACTTGCTACATTCAGCCATTTAAACGCAAGGTAACGCTCCATCGTCAAAATTCAGCTAGGAACTCTGTTTGCAGGATTAGTGGGCAAGATTCCCATTCATGTGCACCGGCAGCATATCGTTGATGCCGTAAAAGACTTGACTCGGGACCTTGGCAGAATGTAATGATAAATAATTGGGACGTTCTTCTCGTCATGCAATTGTCAGATTTCATCAGTCGTTTTTTTTTAGTACATGAATTTGACAAGCATTAGTGGTTGGTCCAGCCTTCAACACGAAGGGCTGACACCGAGACAGTCACAAATGATGTTGTCGATTATGACACTTTTCCAAAAGGCCTTCTTGATAGGTATGTGAATGCTGACAGTCACCACTGAATGATGCTGACGATCATGCTATCGCTTCTCCAAATTCCGCAATACGTGATCCTGTGTTGGTAAGGACGCGCGAGCGCTTAACAGGTTCTACTCGCCGCAAATTATCTCAGTTCGAGCATGTACAAAACGAGATTAATACCAAGCGACGTCGACGATGTGGAAGCTTCGGAAATTCGGGGTACAGCGCAAGGACATGTCGTCAAGTAGCTTAAGCACAAGCAGCGCCTGCAGCATTTCCAGAATTGCGACAAAATGAGGAATATCGCGCATTTCGATCCTGTTCTTGATGCTGTCAATGCTGCACGTTAACAATATGAACGTTGCTTACTCAGATGCTATCTCTATGTGATTAATTTCTGTTTAACTTAAACGCTAAATTTTTGTCTCAATGGCTCTCTGACAACCTCTTCAAGTCCTTTTACAACAGGCTATTTACCAAGATGATCTTGCTATACCGCTCAATCACATCCAGAGGTTGAGCAGCATATAAATGTGTGTGTTGTGATATCGAGATCTTATATTTACAAGTTTATGTCGTACCCACTTTGACCAAACCAATGCATGACTACATTTCAATTTCTCGATTGTTTTCTATCCTATCCAGCACAAGTGTGGGTAGTCTACGTCATCTCAGCACATAGATGTCATTTTCAAATCAAGCGCGGTCGACCGACTGGATGTAAAGCAGTGTCAAGGCAACGCCCGATAGAGGACGCGCCACAATCAACACAAAGTAGGTCAGCGACAAAAAGGTGGCCATGGAAACTTTAAGTCGACTCAAATTACTAAAAAAAAGGTAATCAAGACACACAATCAACAGGGTAATACGAGCCAGCGTGTGCAACATCGTCTATCGATATCACATACACAGCACAAAGATCAGTCCATTGTCTGGCTGCACCATCCTCATCGTGCCTAACAATGCTCACGCCAAATATTACCGCAGCCATAACCTTCGTCAGGCAAGGGCAGGACATTGGTCCGCCCGTTTCTTTCGTCCTGTAGAGCGGGTAAGCCAAACTCCAGCAGCCGTTCCCATGACCAAAATCACATTATTACCCCGAAGCAGAGACATCAGGTGGTGACGGTGGCGGATTAACAGGGGCTAAACACACGTCCATCATCAGGTATCCAGGTGTCAGAAATCTGCTACACGGCAGCATGCCTTTCAGTACAGCTGGCAGAAACCCATTTGGATTGCAAATCTTCAACGATTTTGCAAACATTAGTGTCTGCTTCGCTGCTTTTATCTCATCAACCAGATGAATACCTGCGTACCCATCCAGCCAGCTAGAACTAACCACGTACGTTACATTGACGCTCAGTGAGGGCACTACTTGTTGCCCAGGTGAGACACAAAGCGCTCGACATTCGACATACCATCGAGCTTCACTTCTTCCGTGCTTGAACAGTCCAGCAGATCAATCTTAACCGATACTGCTTAAAACCCTCCAAAGATGTCCACGTGTGTAGAATTTGACGACCAGTCTTTAGCCACTCAAATCCTGCGTGACGTTGGTCGATGGCGAGCAGATTCCAAGCGCGTTTTAACGAAGGCAGCCAGTAGCTGATCTCAACTGGGGAGATAGAATCGACTACATTATGCTGCCAGAGTCCAGGCAGTAAGTAGCACAAGTACTGTTAAAAGTAGGAGTTAAGTACAGTAAACGACTGGTAATGTATCGCGCATTAGACGCGATTCGGCCCCCCTTCGGGGGCCTCATCAGTGGTTTGTCATTCTACAAGTGAGAACAACCCATACATCTAGCTGCTGTACGATCTATTATGATGCATAGAGCCCAAAGAACATTGTACACAAACCCTATCATGGGTCGAATCTCTGGAGTCGAAATCAGTGCATCATGCACTTCCAACAAGTACGACCGACGACGGTACGAGCAACAATAACGCCTGATGAGCGGGAGGAGAAGCGACCGTATTATAGATTCTAGTTGTCTCAATGACCAAAAAAAGCGCTAAAACTACAGTCGACCCTTACTCCGTTCCGCGCTCTTGAAAAAGATCATAATGAAGCACCACGCAGCAAAACCCGTGTCGCCTACTGCGCACTGATCTGATCTTCGTTTCAGAGGGTCCTTACGTATTCTTCTGCTTCTTGTAACGATGATAACGTGTCTGAGAGATCGACTGTATAACTTTTGGAAATCAGGAGCATTCAAGAACAAATTCAAATTAGAATTTTGAGATATCCAAATCTAGTATCGTGCTTAATGCATGGAATGAAGACTCATTAAAAAAAATGAAGGCTCACCAGCGGCTCCTTCTTTAAATTATTGACGTCATTTTATAATTTGAAATTTGAAAAAACAGGTTAATATGACACGAGGCTTTAACAAACTAGTTTACTAAACCTGCCCCACAATGACCTTTCTGTATAATCGACTACTTTTTCCTTTTGATAAAAGGGCTTTCAAGTGCAAAGCGGATTTTACCATTGCGACATGCAATACTCGTGTTGCCGAGAGGTATAATAATATTACTAACTAGATTCAACAGAGAAGAGTACACGAATTGATATGAGCTCTGCCGCACTCTTACTGTAAATGAGCAATGTTATTATCCGTGAGTCGATAGTACTACGTTAAAAGATCAGGTCATTGCCTATTGCTCCTGCGCTATCTGTCTTCGTACTATAATGCTTTAGCTGCTCTTACTGTCCATGCTCCCGTCCATTAAAGCTCAATATCCATTGTTCGATTCATCACGATATTCCACCGTGCAAACTCTAAGCCTACATGAGTCATATTAACCGTAGCCGCACATCTTTTTGTCTCTTTCATACAATAATAGTGCTTCCTTCTTTTATTTTTACGGCTGCGGTATACCTTCCATACCGAGGGGCACCAAAGTGCGCACCACCACGAGTTCAGGCAGATCGGATCCAATATGGCATGCTGTGCGATTGCAATCCCACTCCAAAAAAGGCCGATAATTTTGGCTTTTGAGTCTACAAGTTTTGACTCAAGTTAAAAAGCTTTGCGTTCGAGCTGTCGTAAGTCCGCCTGGTTGACGACGTCGTCAGCTTCGACAACACTTGCATTCTGCCAAAATGATAAATTTCTTGCGCACACTAGCAGATAGCGAGCGGCCTCTGACGCCACTATTTTTTCTTGACGCTTCAGGCAACCTTTGTGCCTTTGAGAAGGATGGTGCCATCTATCACATGATTCCGGTTGCTTTTGTTTGCGGTTATATTGGTGTCACGACAAGACAAGAGTGAGTCGACCCATCCCGCCGTTAGTCAGTTGTACTGATGTTCATCGTGTTTGTGCTCAGCCTACTTTTGCTTCCCTCATCTTACCCGTTGATTATTTTTATTCATCTTGATTCCCATCCCGGAACCGCCGATCACTTAATGTAGCCACTTGTTATAAAAAATTCTCCTGCGACGTTGCAATATCCAATTTACTGTAATGATGGTTCGAATACAAGTTCAATGAATTGTCCTTGAATACTTACGTGCTATTGCCTCCACCGGGTGAGTCTTTCGAGGCGTGCTGGTGTCTGGTCATTAAATAAGCGTTTCATTTTGGATCATTAAATCTTCCCGAGCATGATTTGCATGATTTTCTAGTAAGACCAGCTGGTTTGTGCACCTTAATCGCTTTCTGCGCGTATTTTACTCGGTCCGCGAGGAAGACCTGATCGAAAATACAGACTTCAAAAATCATTTGAAGAAAAGGTCTTTTTCGTCCCCGCGGAATGAGCTCAAAACTGGTATTTAAAGAATTGTGAGCGGTCGCGTACATTGTAGCAATCGTGGCAAAAATTACTACAAGAAGTTCTGCTTACGATTCTTGGCCACCCAAAGTAGAAATTA